TGTCGACCCAATATCTACCGTGTTTGAGCAGCCTATCAAATACCTGAGCAGGTGATGCAATGCACGCCTCGATGACAAACAGCAAGCACAGCCAAGACCGATTATTGTTTACATTCGGGGGAAAATAATCAAGACTGCACTGCCTGGAAAACTGAAGATGTGGTGCCTACAGTTTGGACAAATCCTCTGAATAAGGTGGCCACTCACTGTCTGTGAGGTTCAAACAATAACCGTAGAGAAGATGGAATGAACCATTCCTTCAGACGTGGAAAATGTCTCACGATATCCAAGCAAACATCAGCTTTTATTCAAAGAGGTCCTTGAACAATGCCAGAGGAGCAAAAGGATACAAAATCAGAGTGGGGCAATTTTGTGGTTGAGAATCACCTATACAGGCTCTGTCCATTGCAGTGAAGCAATGTGTCTGTGGACAGAGAGATTTCAAAGGTTTTTGGACAAGGACAGATTTCTGTATCGTTAAAATACTATATCGTGCTGTTGCCACACCGACAAGAATTGTTGGTTTTCTCTTAAATAAATAAATTGTTCATTTGAACATGAGAAGAAAAGCAACATCATTCATCTTTTTTAAAAAAAATTCGATCTTGTTGCAGAAAGCAACATGAAGAATTGAATTGTGTGTTTTTCTCTTGCTACCAAGAACAGGTGTACAACTGGACTACTCTATTTCAGAAGTTAAATGAAACATGGGGGTAAAGCAACAAAAGCAAATTGGTATATTTATCATGCCAGCAATAACAACTTCATGAGGCAAAAAGAATGGAGTTAACGGACAGTGACAGTGGGAACAGTTTCATCAAGTACAAGCAGCGGGATAGTAAAACACAAGTTAGCCAGAGGAATGATGGGAGCATCAGCAAAAAGATTTGATAACCATAAGAACACAATGCAACACTATTAGATACTAATGTAATCTAATTTGTATCCACTGGCGTAATTGATGGAATCTCTGATAAAATATGAGCTCGAATACTAAACAACCTTTTAATAATAAGCTGCTGTGCTACTGGTTGTGTAATTGGTGAATGGGTGAAGTGACTTCAAGATGCATTGTTAAAGGTTTGGGAAGCTACTGCCACAGGATGTTAATTTCTGTGTGTCTGATTATGTGTGTGTGTGTGTGTGTGTGTAGCATACATTTGACTGAAGTGTCTTTGACCTTAAAAACCCTTCCACCAGCCACAGCCCCAGATGGTGAACGCCCTTTAACTTATTTTCTGTTACACAAACTGTATAGACTGCATATGCTGTGTTTCATAAAATCAATCAGATCATTACATTTCATATGCTTAAAGAATATCACCATGTCTAAAACATTAAGTGGGTGGAGAGAAAAGGAATAATAAATACACTGATTTTGTGTAAGTGGCAATTTTTTCTGGAATTCTTTCATTTTCAAGCCAAGGGCAAGCATCACTGGATAACCTGGTGTATTTTAGATGATACAGAAATGTTCACAAGTGTTCAGATCCCACAGATTCTGGCTTTCAGAGCTTTGATGTGTTAAACTGTGAGAATTTATGAGATGAGTGAGAGTGTAGAGAGAGGAGCATATTGAAGGATAAGAAAAATAACGTTCAGCACCTGATAGAAAATAAAAAATGATATAATTAATAAATTCTGCAAAATATAGAAATATATTTTAAGAATCCAGTCTCAGTCTAGAATAGTAAACTGAACAGTTAAGTTCCTTAATATAGTTAAAAAGACAATGAAGTTCAACATTCAAACAACAAATCTCACTGTTTTAACATAATATAATATAATAATATAAAGGTAACCCAAAGATATAACTTGTGCTGTACATGAAAAGCTTTTTTTTTCTCTTTCACATTTGCATTTTTCAAAGATTAAAAGACAAGTTATTACAGATTATTAGTACTTTAATAGTACTTTAATTTGTCCTCGTTTTGAAGCATCACAACCTGCTATTTAAAAAAATGTAATGATTGTGATAAAGATGTGAAATAAATGTCTGATGAACATGAAACAGGGGAGCTTAATCCTTCATTATTTAAATAATAATTATAAAATGATGCTGCAATGTCAAGAGTACAGTTAGTTTCCCTTATTAAGTCTAAAGTCAGCAACCAACTGAGCAAACTCAGCAATTCCTCTACAGCCCTTTAGTTTGTGACCATTTGCCCTCAGTCTCTGTGTGACCACTACCAAGACGGCAGCCAGTCAGTGTCAGTGGCCTTTTCCACACTGCGCCAGTCCCTACCCTGGACGGAGCCAGGCCAGCAGGAGATCCGGAACGACTCGAACAAGCCAAGGCACAAAGGACCAGCTGCTTGCAGAGCACGAGCTATACATGGAAGGAAGTGAGGCTTACTGAATATACTGGATACAAGCAATCCCTCTTTTTAGTTATTCCAAATGGAAGATTACTGGGTGAGACATTGAAAACTATTTATTTATTTATGTATGTAATTACTCACGATTCAGCGGAATAATTATGAGCAAGTATCCAATGATCAACCAGTGAGTTGCATGCATCCCCAGCTTTAATCCCTCTTTTCTCAGTGACATTGTTAAGAAGAAAGAAAAACAAGAAGACAAAACCCTGTCGACTCACATTTCATTTGCTGCCACTTCATCGCTTCATTTGTGTGTTTTGGTCAAATCAATTCTCTGTAACGGCGCAACACCTAGTGCCCCAAACTGACATCTGTGGCATTATATGTGATGTGAAAGTGTAAAACTGCTCTGACACGCTGAGCCACACTCATTGTCTGCATTAGCTGCGTGCAGCTCAATGTAGGCTCGAAGCAGTGGCTTTCGAAAGCATGCAAGTGCACAAACACATCACAGAGGCTCATAAATATCTCATTCTACAAGGGATTTCACGTATGCATTCTTGTGAGGGCTTACACTGGAAAAGTTGATGTGCAGTAAGTGCATTAAATATAGCTGCCTCTGAGCTGCCAGGCAAATGTGGAGGGGGGGGCTGTTTTGTGGAAGAAAGCAAGGCTATTTTATTTTATTTCACAGATCTATGGATAATGATAAACACACCTGGTCTGTGTTACCCAGGTTGAACATTTGTTTCAGAAGATGGTTAGGTTTGGTAACATGAAGGACTAGAGATACTATCAATAAATGTTTTTAAGCGTGTGTGAAAGAGCCTCACACAAACTAAAAAATGTTTTACTCGGTGAATCTTCCATTCATGAAATTGAAACAAATTACAATGAAGCTGTATATGAGTGTCTTTCACCTTTATTTGAATTTGTGTTCATTTTCATTTCATCCATTCTGGTGTCTACTACAGTTTAAATGTCTTGTATCAACAAGTGTTCCTGAGTTTAAAATAGAATGCAAATTAGAGTCTGCATTTGGCCCAAAGCCAGATGAGAATCTGAGGGAGAATGCAGACAATCACCTACATGTTTCCTCCAGAGGTAAAGACACTCAATTTACACTTCATAATAAACCCACTGCCCCACAGCTGAGTGATGATATGTGACGCCGGGCGACAGCGTCGTAAATATGCTCTTCCTGGATGTATTTATGGTCTTAAAGCTCATAAAAAGACAAAACGGTCACAGTCACATTTTGAAGTCAGGGATTTCAGTTTTCTTCATTCAGTGTTTCAGCACAAACTATCACAATAAAAGCCTTCCAGTGAAAGCTGCACTCCCTCGAAGCGACTCTGTCAGGAAGACCCCCACCTCCCATTCCCAAAAGGTTTTTTATTCTCACAGTTATGAAAATGTCGATCATGGACAGAAAGGTCAGACCATCTGCTGGAGAACACCAGTTTTTGTATATTGGGGCAAGTTTTTTTTGTATATTGGGGCAAAAATATTAACTAAAAAAATGAAGAAGATGATGATGGTGGTAGAATATTTTGATCATTAAAATATTGTAGTAAAATTGTGGTGGCCTTCATAAATATAAACATGACGATAAAATAATAATACATGACTAAACACTTGGATGTTGATCTGTCCATGCTTTTCATTTGTATGTACACGCCCACCTCAATAGAAAAAAATTGTAACAAAACAAAACACCACAGCTACAGAAGGATTTCCTCAGATGTTGACATTGTCTTGTAAGATCCAATTTTCAGATATGACAGAGCAGCTTAAAAAACTCTGGGCTGGCAGTATTGATGTCTAAAGCACTTAAGTAGTATCTGTCTTCCTCACACATACATGCATGAACACACACAGACACACACACACACACACACACACACACACACACACACACCATCCACTTCCCCTTCCTGGTAAAGTACAGGATGTGAGAATGGAGAACTAAGCAGTCTTTTGTTGCCAGGAATGCTTTATGTGCCATGTTAATACTAAAGTTCGCCTGCCGAAAAGAGACGGCTCAATTCAATCAAGCAAGTCACTGCCTTGTAAAGCCATTACACTTTGTGCAATGTCATGCGTTCTGGAGCCAGTGGACAGTGCTGCGTTCTGTCCCGGCATCAGGGAAGCAGATATAGCGGAAGCACGTGTGCCTGTCACGTCAGAGCCTATAAATAGCCATCACCACCAATCGTAAACACTTGTCTAAAATCAATTAGATATGCATTTTCCACAACAAAACACAGCAAGGTGTCCTTGTCGACTTGCGCCCGTGGCACAATTAGAAATAAACACTTCATTCACTTTCTGACTGAATTTGCACCACAGGCGATGAGATTGCAAGAGGAGATGAAGAGATTGTGGAGAGAGGGAGGAGGAAGTTGATATCAGTGTAGAATATCAGAGGAGAAGGAAAAATACAAGTGACCTCACTGATATCATCTCCTGCAACTATAAGGGAAAGGGTCAGAAGTGCTGCAGGGGGGGAAAACTTCAAATATGCAAACAGGAAAAGCAGAGAGGCCATAGAGCAGTGAAAGAAGTGAGAGGAAAGAAATGATCAAACAAGAGCAGCAGTAAATTCAGAGTGAGGGGGGGGGGGGCAGGAACTACTTTTAAAGCAGTCAGCATGTGCTGAAATAAGCAGAGTCTTACCTGCTCAGAGGCTGTGGTTGGTGGGACGGAGAAGTGAGGAGAGTCAAAGGGTCCAGGGTGGTCTGGGTGGTAGGTAGGAGGGGGGGGTGGGGGGTTCTCGGTCCGGCTCGGAGCAGGGCTGGAGGGTGGTCCAGGAGAAGGGGAGGAAGGATGGAGTGACAGGGAGCAGGGAGACGGGGAGGCTAGAGGGGGGAGAAGAAACGCCGCTCGCCTCTCCCTCCCTTTCTCTCTCTCTTTATCTCTTTTCTGCCTCCGACATCCACACACACACACACACTCTGACACGCGCTCGCAGGCAGACACCAAAACCCAGAGTCACTCAGATAATAGGCAGAGAAATAGTCTTTACATTTACACACTCTGCCACAGGGAGAGGATGGGGTGAGCTCTCCTCCCACTCTCCTCCGGGCAGCCAATCGGAGGCTGCAGAGAGGACATCAATGAGCCAATGACAGTGGAGGCAGCCGGTGCCTCGCTCCAGCCAATAAGTGCAATAGCTCATATCCAGTTGGAATAATTACAGTAGGGAAGGGAAAGCTTCCCTTTTTTGAAGGACAGGCCAAGTGTCGCACTCCAGCCAGCGAGCGTGATTCAGTGCTGCCACAGACATTAGACTGATTAGATTCTGAGCCACTTAACCCAGCACAGTACCCCAGCATGCTTCTCTGCAGACCTGGAAAAAGACCTGCAACCAACCAGAGGAAGAGCCCGAGAGACAGAGAACTTGTCATGTATGGTCAAAACAATGAAGACACGAGGGCCGATGTGGGTGTGAACTCAGATTAACTCCCAAATAATCAATTCCATCATGCCACGTACAACAAATTAACACTCAGCATTCTCCTGCAGCCCTTAGCAACGACTCTGAGCGGATAACAGGAGTGACGTGTGGCATTTCATCAGGTGCTATTGCTCGCATGGTCACCAAGAAGCACACTTCACTTCCGCCAAGTCCTACACACACAAGTAGACACAATCGATGGCTCTGGCAAGCGCCCAGCTTAACACATGATCAATGGCGAACTGTCAGGTTGAGGAATGAAAAGCACATCATGACTCCACTCAGGGAAGTGAAGGAAACACCTGCCTATATTGTTCCATCAAAAGCAGAGTGGAGAAGCAGGAGCCATGTAGTTGGTCTGTCAGCAGACATGGCGCTGCCACTTGCTGAACACCAGGTTTACTGAGGGAAATCTCAGGGGCTGCCAGCTGTTCGGGATGCTCAGGGTTTTAATCATACTGCTGCGATGCTCAGGGTTTCTTCATAATGTTCATTGGTGTAACGACAACTCTGTTTCACTTTGAAAGGAAAGTGTCCGCCAAAGAAAATGATCCATCCATTTTCTCAACAACTGTTCATGATGGTGAGGGGTCGGGGGGAGGGTAGAGCCAATCAGAGCATGCATTTGAATAAGAGGGAGGAGGAAATCCTGGACTGGTTGGCAGATAGACTCAGGGTTAAAGGATAATTCCAGACATTTCCAACCTGGCTCCTTTGACAAACACAATCACGCTCACATTCATCTGTACTTCTGTTCCAGCAAGAACCTGAAGGCTGCCAAAGAAGTTGAGTAAAGTGAAAAGAAGGGGCAGAAGCTAAATGAACTAGTGTAAATGTAAATATGGTGAAAGTAGCTGCTTTCTGGTGCAACATTTTTGGCCCTTCACCAGCTTTACAGATCTCCTCCACTTTTACTTATCCACGGTTTCCTGCTTAATCAAGCAGATTTTTCATGAATAAGAAATGGTTTAAAAATGTGTAACTCTGTCAGTAAATATGTTTTATATCTTATTTTAATTAACTGGCAGTAGCAATAAATGCAGTGTTGCATTGCACTGGATAATTGTTGAGTAATTTTGTACAAGTATAAAGATTAGTAATGTGTATTTGCAGGTTTTAAATGTGTTTTTTAAGTCTTCATTTAAACATGTCCCCAATATCCTCTGGTCAGGTTGGTTTTAACATTTTTGTACGAGGTTGGTCAGGAAACATGAAACACATAATTTTCACCTATAAGTGAACCTGGTGCAACAGTTTACAACCATGTACAAGAAGCAGAGTACTTGGGAAAATGACTGAACGATTAACAATCTTAAAGTACTTTTCCATCGATTGTTTTGGTTCTAACTGAATTACAAAATGACGTACACAGCAGTTCATTCTGTGCTTGGTCCTGTTTGTTGCAGACTATAGAAATACTTTTTACTTATTGAAAGCTACAGAGGAGTTTGGAGGAAATTGTAGATAAAGTGATCAGATGGAATATATTCTTCCTGCACTCAGGCAGCTATGTTGCATGTGTGAGGCCTGCAGATCTCCACATCTCTCTGATTTGAGTGATGGTTTGCAGGGGCTCTACAAATCAATGAGCTTGTCCATACCTGACTGCATTAGAACATGGTCAGGTATGCACAACACAAGTGTGGCATCATCGTCAACGTAGCATTAAGTCAAATTTAGAAATGTGGCTCTACACAGGAGAAGCTGCAGAGCACATTTCCAGCTAATGCTCCACACCGGGGTCTTTGCCTGTTTAATGGTATCTGAGATCGGACATACATGCACGAGTCCTAATCAGAAAAATCATTACATGGATATTTACTGTTGATGTGACTTCCCTCCACAGACGAGGCTGTAAATTAATTTGTGAATGTGCAGACACTGTGCATTACAGCAATACTGAAAAAAAACAAACAATCAGTATGGAGCCTGCAGTGGAGCAATCTATAGCAATAGGGTCACAGACTGCGAAGGCAACACTGTCATTTACGGTAGCATGGTTTTACACAACAGGGCTGATACAGGCCCCGTCTGCGTGTGAGTGGGAGAGAGAGGGACATAAAAAATTCATTAGGAGATGGAAGGAGATGTCATATCGAATATGTAGCCAGCTGCACTGATGGCCACGGCTACTGAGCTGTGAGAGGCTGGTGAGGTATGTAGCTATGTGGCACTGTGGCCCTGACCTCGGTGAATTCTAAATTACGCTATCACAGAGGTCTCGTGTGAAAAATAAATATGCGGTTACTTTTTAGTTTATCCTAAAAACATTACAAATACTTGCTTGGTTTGATTCACTGATGATCAGTTACAAAGACTAACTATGTCGCCAATTGAGCTGCTTTGGCTTGGCTGAGACTTTTGGCAGGAGCTGAAGAATTATTTATCCCTCGGTGCTAAGTAACATTTTCATGCAAGGAAGAAAATTCATAAAATATCCATTAATGTAAATGCACAGACACAGTTTGCATTAATTGATTTAATCAATTACAACATGCAATCAGTAAGAGAAAGTCAGGATTGGCCACAACAGGATCTTTTCACTTCTTGAGTCAACATCCTGTCCTCGCAGTTTGACAGAAACTGGCTTTAAGCTTTAAGTTGAATTCTTTGGCAGTCACAAGTTTCTTTGCAAATGACAAAAGGTATACATGGAACACACCTGCCTGAGAGTAAAGGAGGGGATGATGTATGACAGTGTGGTCAAAGCCTATCTTCACAATGCCAGGAATATCCACTCTGGATAACATCATCCTCCTCATCAAATATTTAAAGTCAGGGGGGGAAAAAAGACTTAAATGCCAGAAGATTCACAGGGGGATTTAAAGACTGGGGGATTGTTACTCATTATCTATCTAAATGTCAGTGAAATGTGAAAGCCTTGAAGAAGGACTTAGGTACTTCAGTCACTACACAAATGTTGCTTTAGGCCTCCTTATTACCCGTTCACTTGACGGGGAAATACGTTGGACGAGTCGGAGGCAGAATCCATTAAAGTGGTGAGACTTGCACATTTCCATATGATTAATTGCAGGCGCTCTTTATCCACTATGGCTCTGTACCGAAATCCTACACTGCTGGTACCTACCAGACTGAATCACAATGTTGATTTCAGTTCCTCATTTCAGGGCCTGAGCTATGTACGGAAATAATTTCCCTGTTTACAGGCAATTTAATTATCACCACAGGTGCCTAGTTAACATTACACTTAACTCTGGTGGCAACACATCTCTACATGGCTCTGTTAGAACGTAACGTCAGCCTTTTAGCTATTTCAAATAGAGATGACAGGACAACAAAATGTCTGAAACTAAAGGGTCGAAACTGTGGCTGTATATCACACAAAAGGTTTCCGACACCAGGCCGATAGGGAGCTGAGTGCCTGGACCGACAGCTTGTTGAGCTGATGGCGATATGATGTTGGTATTTTCCATCTGCCAGTTAAGTTTGAGAAGGAGGAGGACGAATGGAGGAGACTTAATGAAGTGGTGGGTATACAATTGATGATGAGTTTGGAGCTGGAGTATTTTGCTGGATTTTTTTTAGAAATAAATATGATTTTTAGAAACTTAGTTTTGTAATTATTTTAGTTTAATTAGGTTTGATGCATTGTGTGATTTAGTCATGTTAATGTGTTTGCTATATACTATACTATGTATATTTGTATATCTGTATCTAAATGAAGTATACTTTGTCAACTTCCAATTTCCCTTGTGGAAAAGTGGACCGCCATTTTATTTTTAAAAAATTCCAGAGAAGAAAGAATCTGTTCAGGCACCATTTCTGAACCTAAACCCTTTTTAAAGTGTTGATTTAGCACTGGTATCAGAAAAAAAACCATATAATCCTCAACCCTATTCACCACACACACTCTCTATGCTTACAGTTGATATCACAGCTAAATAAATGCATCTGCTCTCTCAGATAAAACACATCAGAAGGTCACACACTGTAGCTTCATCTGTAACAACAGCACGAGTGCAGTTGAAGATTTAGGTTAAAGTGACGATGAGTCACAGGCGTCGAATAAACACAGTCCGGAGATCTGGTAACTGCGGCTTTTTGCTCCCACCAGATATCTGCTTGTCACCTTGTTGTATAATTACTGTCGCTGGATCATTCCATCGTACTTAGTTATTACTTAGCACCCACTAAATATAGCTTTCCCCAGGCAGCCTGTGTGATAGCACCCACAGCAGCAAAAGCCAGCTGTGGGTTGTTACATCCCTACAACCCCCCCACCCACTCTAACCTCAGTCAGTCAAGACTTAAATGGATGATATGCCACTCAGTGAGTTATGTTATTTTTTTTTTTCCTAAAGATTTACTCGAGCAGGGACAGTGAGGAATTGGACAGGAGTTATTATGCTAGTTTATTTTCTTTCAAACAGGGAATTATTATAAGCCTTATAGCTCTCGTAGGGGTGCTCAGTGGGTTGAGATGCTTAAGCGGCAGATTTGATGAAATTGAGCGGGGGAGTGACTGTATGTACTGATTACTTTTAGGAATGCTGATTT